GTATCTAATGGCATATGCTATATATCAAAAATTGGATGAGTATTGGTCTTTTATGAATAATTCATCTCAAATTTCAGCTGTTCTTGATCCGCGAACAAAATTATCAGTTTTTTCAACAGATAAGCAAAAAAACAATGTTAAAGACTCAATTATTCACCTGATAAAATATCTTACTTTAATATCACCTACATCAATTACAATAATTACAGATGAATTAACAGATATACGAAACTTCTTTAAAATGCTTTGTACCAACTCATCATCAAGTTTATCTATTGCCGCCACCACTCCTTTTGCCACCACCATCTCTGCTACCACTACCTCTGCTGCTATCTCTTCTGCTGCCATCACCACCTCTGTCACTACCATCTCTGCTGCCACTATCTCTACCATTGTCACCTCTGCTGCTGCTATCTCTACTGCCACCACCTCTGCCACTGCCGCCACCACCATTACTTATAATAACATAGCAAATGAACTCAAAAAATATCTGCTGGGTGGAACTGAAAACAATATTGATCCATTATTATGGTGAAAAACTCAAATGAAAGAATATCTGATTTTAAGCAAATAGCGTGAGATTACCTATTGATTCAAATAACCAGTGTTGCATCTGAGCAGGCTTTTTCTGTAGCAGGATATACTTTAATAGCTATGAGAAATCGATTACATTTAGAAACAGTAAGGGCAACATTATATGTAAAAAGCTGGATTCATAATGATATTTGTTAAATATAGAATAAAAACTAAAAAAACTAATGTAAATTGGTAGACATTCAAATCAAGTAATTTGTTGCTCTGGAAAATTTTAAATATAAAGGCTGTATTGGAAGTGTCACAAAAATCATTAAATAACAAAATAAAAATTTTCGAACGCATAGAGTTTGGTGTTCAGCCTGAACTATTATGCTTATTATTGGTCTCATTATTCCTATTTTTCTTGTATTTTCATTGATCGTTTTGCACCAGACATGGTATTGATTTGATTTCAGTAAAATACATTCTCATTGAAGTGGAATTGTTAGTTTGATTTTCTGCATAAACATGTATTTTATTATATAAATGCCAAGAATTTTCAAAATAGTTTTTTTCTATTCTATATTTTTTACCTTTTACGTTTATACTTTTCATACAAATATTTATGTTATGAATTATGCGTTTTAATTATATACTTAAGAATGGCGACATTAATATTTCTTAAATGTAATTTTCAATAATATTATGGAGGAAAACATTAATGTACGATTATTCAGATGTGGAAATACATTTACGATCCTACGTATTGTTTCAGAAAAGAATGAGAAACTAACTATTAAATGTATTTTGTATAGATTAAAACCAAATAATCAAAGAGATCCTGAACATATCCATAATATTATTAATCCTGATATCTTTTAGTTTATTTTCAATTAAAAGTATCTGTAATAAATAAGGATATACATTGTACAGTACGTACATATAATTTAAAGTTAAAGCAATGATTGTTTCGTGGTTTACGCAATTTGTGCAAGTTAAAGTGATAATATATTATACTGTAAAGCATAGCTTTGCCAATTAATTATGAATTATTCTTAGAGATATACTCATTGCATTATTAACATTGTTACATAGTGTCATGGGATAATCGGCAAGTCGGTCACTAACCCACAAATCTCTTACCATGTTCGGTTCACAATAAGATAAGTTTCTTATTTACTCTTTGAGCCATGTCTTTAATTTGGTCAGTTTTACTTTATTTAACCTCTTTATAGAATAATATAGAACCCCTACAATATCAATTCACTTAGGCAAACCTTGATTCTCTTACTTATTTGCATAGCTTAAGTTACAAGTATGTATTTTGGGCACACTTGAAAACAAGGATAATTTTGAATCATTTAATTTGTTTTGTGCACTTCCCTTTGATCTTAAATTAGAAGTGTAACTTTATATACTTAAAAGAAGAACGCCTTTGCACAAAAGTCCCGTTAAAAATTTTTTATTTTAATATTATCTTTTTAATGAAATTAAATAGTTTTGTTAATTACAAATACTGTGATAAAATATAAAAATAATTATAAAAAATTTGTTTGTTTTTTAGTATGATATTCTCAACTGTATTTGATAAACTGGTTTATGAACTGGTTTAATAAACTGGTTCAGTTCAGTTTTGGCTAATAAACTGGTTTTTTTCAGGACCAGACCGGACTGGATTGGACCAACCCATCCCTAGTTATAGGATATTACCTTTCTTGAGGACATGACAATAGAGATGGATGGTCATAACAATTATGTGCGAGTGTGGGGCATATAATACTTGATTATTTTTGAAGGATTATCTATTGGAAAAGGAAAAAGAGAAGATTCAAGTTATATGACAACAAGGGCCTACTGAGCAACACTTATTGCTATCTTATCACCGACCCACAGAGTAACACAGTGATAAGGAACAATGTAAGCAATAGATACAACAACAACAAATTTATTAGAAAAATAGTTCTGAAGGTTTATAAACTACATGCGGATTTGGAAAGCGAGCAGAATATTCGGTATTGCTAAGATTAGGATCAGGATCTCTATGAGGATAATTCTCTGCCCAGAAAGGATTAGGATTTCAATGAAAGGATGAGAGATGACATTGATCTGCCAAGAAAAAAGATGACAACTAGAAATAGGATGCCAATGCTAGAATAATGCCGATTGAAGCTTACCAACATGTTCACGAAGTGTCAAAATTTCCAAGCGCAAAGCATCTTCTTGACGAATCCTTGCTGTTATCCGATTAGTATTTATCTTAAGGAGTGAATTAATATGAGACTGATAGCGACTAATAGATTCTTGACCATGAATTTGAAGATGTTGCAATTGATGTCTTTGCTCTTGATAATGATACTGCAAACAAGATAATTGGTTTCGCAACTTAACCAATTTTTTTTAATACTTGGAACATTTATATCCAATAATGGCATAACCAAGGAACTTGATTTTTTCCTGGAGAGTCATAATATAACCAACAATGGCGTCAGGATGTTCAATAGCATGAGCAAGTCTGTTAACACAAAGCATAATTATAATTAGAGGAATGGAAAATAAAAAATGATAAGAGAAAAATCAAGCTTTTAAATATAGGAGTAACTAGCAATCTTGATCAGTGCAATCTCAAAAACTTATATAAATACCCCTTGATCCTGAGAAAATTTTCACCATGAGAAATGCCCAAACTCACACGTCAACAATCAGCCTTGAAAAAAATGAACTTATTTAAAATAAATATGTTTTCTATTTTGGATGAAACTCCTGAAAGATTTACTATGTCATATAATCCAATCATACCAATCAATGAATCTATTAGGACGACGATCTTGGAAATTATCCGATATATATAACAATCTCATCGAATTGCCGTATTAGCCCACTTGTATTACTTAGGAGAATTACTGGAAGTCACAAGGAACGCACGACAAACTTGGAGAGAATATATCCAAAAATATCTATTATTTAACCATAAGAGATATTATCGATTTGCTATACGAACCTAAGAGATTTTTCAAAATAATATGGAGCAAATTTATCGAACAAAGTACTTGTTTATGTATTATATTGCTGGAATGATCAATGGAGATTATAGAAATAATTTTTTAATTTTTGTTTAAGGTTTAGGCTTAGAGGACTTCGTCTTTTAAAGGAAGGAAATATATGATAAAATAGATAACTTAGTTTTATTTTTACTTATTTTTTATTGAATTATTATTAGTTTATTTTTAGTTGTAGGATTTA